TGATTCTGTTTGAGAGTATACTTAGAATAAAACCTGTAATTAGGGTCACGATGTTTAGTGAATGTGGTGCGGTGCTTCATGGCGAGTACATGTCGCATGATGGAAAGCCACTCTGTATACGGGACTACAATGAAAAGCATGGTGTTAAATGTTATGAATGCCATAAGTTCATCGCCGGGAAAGTCTTGCAGGTACTTTTATTCTGTTGTTTGCTTTTTTTATTCTCTTAGAAGGCCCATACGCAGCTTTTTTCACTGTCGCATTCAATTTAGCTAGATTAGTTAGACTTATTTCAAATTGCAACGATTTAGGCAGGCGGGTATAAATTTCATCCAACTTGTGCGAGGTGTTCTCGATGTGGTTTACACTTTGGTGATGGTGAGGAAATGTACATGCAAGGAGACGAGATATGGCATCCGTCCTGTGAACACTCTCGCACTACTGAAAACATAGCGGTATGTTCGTACGATAGTTGCTTTCATCTTTTTTCATCATCTTTTAATAATGTTTGTCTGGATTCGCTTCATGGTCACTCCCGGTTTGCGAGAGAAGGTTGTAACCCTTTCAGCCATCAGCGAAGAGCACAACGCTTTCTTCCCGAAATGAGCCGAAGTATCAGTCAGCTTTTGGCCAACATCTCACATATATGTATCTATTACCCGAAGCTGAGCAAACTTATCTTCGTCACCCCATCACAAATCCGAAAGAGCCAAATGCTCCGCAGTTTCATGTACCGCAAGGTAATGTGTACTCCATGAATTTGTTGGGGTCGAATTACGTAACATCATTTGCAGGACCTATCAAAATTAGAAAGTCTCGTCTTTCCATGCTCAAAACAGGAATGCAGCGACTTAGTAAGTTTTTGTTAGTTTTAACGAGATCAAGTGTGAGAAAGGATCATTGTGTTTAGGATTAGGGACGTGCATATAAACTTATGTTGTTTAGCGGAGGATCTCGAAAAGAATGTTCCTCGCCCGAAATCACCTCACATGGATAATGAGGAACCGATCGAAATGGCCCATTACCCTGCCGGTCACGCGCCTGATCCTGATAAGGTATTAGTGTTGACGATTCTCAAGGTCTATCAATCTATACATTTATAGCTTCCTGCAATAGAGCGAGACGATTTTCCTGCTCCACCGTATCCGTATGCTGTCGAAGGTGATCGCTTTTTACTTAGTGTTACTTTCTAAGGTGCTAGGTATTGAAAGCAGTGACTTTGTCTCGTGACACTCTTATTTTCCGCTTACTGTAGTTGTCCGCTACGCTTATCCCGAAAATCCAGTGAGCACGAAATGTCGTAGACAAGCATCGTTAAAAGCCCTCCATTTGTACAAGGACGGCAGATAGGATCACACAGGCTTTGATGTTGTAGAACTCCCAAAATTCCTTGCGGCTTGCGCACTTCATAGGCAGTGTCGGCAAATCTGAGCGCATGGGTTTTTGCCTGGATGAGGGGTTTATGGCACTGCCCAGGCGGCAGTGCAAATAATTCATTCACGGCTGAGAAATGCGCTCAAACACTCGCGTCTGCGCCGTGACCCTAACTTGAAATGACTCTTCTTTTTAAAGGCAGTGTCCCGGCAGAATTTCGTCTTCAGCTTTTCAGCTTTTTGGGACCTTCTTGCCATGAGGAAGCCAGCCATGGGAACGTGCGTTGAGCTCTCACAAGGGAACCCCGAGTCGGAAACGGCTTTCTATATGAATCACATATCAATCGAAAGAGCATCA